TACTACTACTAAAATTATTAAAACCTTATTTTTAAGGAATAATCATACAATATTTCTTCAATGTTTTAATTGTAATATTAAATTACCTTTATTTTCCAAAAAATTTAATGTGTTTAATTTTCATTACTTAAAAGATAGATTAAATGAATGTTTTATACCTTAAAAAATGTAAATACACAACACAGAATTTCTGAGCAAAAAATCATAAGGCTATTGTAAGAATAAACTAAACTTGTTTTTATGCTTTCAAATAATTAGACATGCTAAATCAGCATTAGGTAACAATAAAACATAAGGTTGGAAAAAATAAAACATTTCATAGGGCCCTAAACATGTAATATTTGTTCAACTTTTAATAAATTGATGTTAAATTGTTTAAGTTTCATGATTTTAATTAATAAGACATGCTTTTTGATTAATAAAATGCAATTTAACCATTAAAAAGGAGTCCATTAACCATTAAAAAAAAACAGATATATATGCTCAGAGAGTCACTTCATAAGCATTTTACCGTTTGATTTGAGTAAAACTAGCGTTATATCACATACACACAGGAATTTAAAGGTATTCACGGCAACCCGTCAAAATAAAAGTTCGGTTTAACTTGAAGACACTGTGCCAGAAATATATTACTATTGTTCTGTAATCCGTAGAATGTACATACTATTATTCTAAAATTATCAAAACTTTATTTTGGAATAATCACACAATAAAAGATAAATTAAATTGATGTTTTATTCTTTCAATTGATAACCAGAAAAATGTAAATACACAACACAAAAAAAAAATTCATAAGGCTATTTTAAGAATACATTTGAATAAATTAAGTTGTTTTTTTGGATTCAATTAATTAGACTCGCTAAAACAGAATTTGGTAACAATAAAACATATGGTGAGAAAAAAATAAAACATTTCATAGGGCATCATAGTGCCCTATCATAGTGATTAGGTGATTTGAAGTTCAAAAGTTCATCAGTCATCATTCACTCTTGTTATATATCAAGTGCTCGGCATCATGGGAGAGTGAGTCAGCAGCACTAATGCCTGCAGTCTCACGCACAAAGTGGCCTCCGCTAGAGTCACATTCCTCCCCGCGGCCACGGTCAACACCTAGACATGGTCAGGCTGAGGTCACCGCGCAGACAGGACACAACATCACCCCTGAGATGGCCATGAACGACGGCAAACACGACACATCGCATCAATCTCCCAACAACAACTGTTCTGATAACTCAATTCAGTGTTTCGGGAAATTCTGTTTCCAAATCTCAAAACGGATGTAATTCAGCACTCAATGATTTAAGAAAAACTCAATTAACATAAAACCCATTTGTGCTTGTGATAACAGGCTCTAGAACAGAAACACTCATCAGATAAGCTCTCGGTGACTTAATGGTTAACTCATCAAGATAATTATAGCATCATCGAGAGGGAATTTCATGTACCAGAATCCAGCGCTTCTGATCTAATCGTGTTTGTAAAAGTCCCGGCAGGAGCTCGCTTTATCTACATCACTCACGGCCCAGAGGTGTGGTGTATAAACCTCCACAAACTGCACACCAAATCAGCCACTATCCACCCCAAGAACCAGAGAGGTCAAAAGTAGGGCTGCTCGATTACGGCAAAAATCACAATTATTTTTGTTAATACTGAGATCATGATTATTTAACACTAATTACTAGTTAACTTTGGAAACATTATGCATTTATTTAACTTTTAGGCCTAAAGCTTGTTTTAAAAAAAATTAATTTCCCTGAACAAATGAAAACAAATAAAATAATTTATAAAAATAAATAATAGATAAATAAAAGTAAAAATAATATAAATAAAAATATAAATGATAAACAAAAATAATATAAAAGTACTCTATACTGTATATATATATACACACACATATATTTATATATAAGATATATATATATATATATATAATGAGAGTATAAATAATATAAATATAAAAATAAAAATAAATAATTTAAATATAAAGTATACATATAAAAATAAAATAATAATAAAAACAAAACAAGTATAAACAATACATAAATAACAAACAATAATAAAAGTATAAATAATACAAATATAAGATCATAAATAATATAAAACATATAAACTAAAATAATAACAAATAATACAATAATACACAAAGTAATATAACATATAAATAATAAATAAACTCTATCCAAATAGGTAAGATCAATTTAGTTGTTGTTGTGCTCTGCTGTAAAGGAAAGGCTGTGCTGAATTTATAACACAAAACAAAACAAAAGCATCACCACTGTGGCACAGTGTTTTTTATTAGCAGCATGGAACCGATAGAGTTGAACAGCAGTGTTTGGTTTTTCAATAGCTGGATAAACAATTAGGCTACCTGACAAAACCTCCAGCAAGAATGCATGTGATGCAGAAATATTGAACTTTCATATAAAGGACTGCATTCTATAGAACATTCCTTTTTGTTGTGAAATGGCGAAATCTCAATCGTGAAGCAACCGTTAATGCCACACTTACTTACTCACCTTGGCAGCTGAAAAACAAGTTTTCAGGTGAGTGTTAGGAAGAACTAATCCAGCGGTGACTAATTAACACGTTCAGCTGACTGTAACACACAGATCACACTGAACACGCTGTTAATCCTCATTATAGAGCGGCTCAAGTTTCTGTCTCAAAGATTCATTCGGTGCGACTGACTCACTTCTTCCTCGGCCAAACAAATCAGGGTTATCTTAGTATCACTGAGAGACTTTTATAGGTAATATTCATATTTTAAATTAGATTTTATTTTTCATATTTTCCAATTTTATTTCAATTTAAAATTGTAGAAATTTAGGTGTGTTTTTGATATTAGTTTTTTTGTTTGTTTCAGTTTTAATTATTTCTGTACATCAAGATAAACTAAATGAAAATGAGAAATGCTGCCCTGGCAACTAGATGATTACATTTATTTCTGTTAATGTTTATTTTTTTCCAAGTAATGATTTTTTAATTGAATGGTTTTAGTCTAGTTTAATAACCCCAGACCAAATTCAGAAAGTTTTAGAAAAAATAAAACATAATTTGGCCAGCCAAGTAAATGTAAACATTCCTAACAATAAAAAAATAAATTGCTTGAAAACAAGTCATATTCTACTCTAAAACCAAAAGAGAAAGATGAAACATTTTATGAAGAAAATG